CCAATCAACAACACCCACTGCCAACACTTTCACTACTCTGATTGGATAGTGGGATTTTATCATAAACCTTACAATGTATCCACAGACAAAACAATGTGAAGCTCTATTTTTATTTTTGGCAGTAATTTAACATGGACCATGCTCTACTCTATATGTTCTTAAAAAACTAAGTTTTCCTGTATCTAGTTTAATACCAAACTTGAAAACCCAACCAAATACTGTTAAACTTCACAAGAAAGGGGTAAGTACTAAAATAATAACACCCTGAATGTCACATTACCTAGGTATTTGTACCACTCAGGGAAAACCATTTTTCCTTTGTTGTACTCAGATTGGGTTCTTGGCTTATTATTAACCGTCTCCTCTTATTGACAGAAAGATTTATATCATCAAGAAAACAGCAAGATTATTGGATTTGAGAGTCAGTTTCGTTTATTATCATTTATTCTTCAGAGTTACCTTACAAGTTAATAAAAAAGTTTTTGAAAAAAATGATAAAAACATAATTTTGTCAGAATATTCCACAATATTATTATTATACATGTTACATTTCTAGTGTTCTTTTCTGCAGTTTTGATTGAAAACTGCATGAAAATAAATAACATGTTTAACATAATTAATGGAGAAGCATTATAGATAAAGAAAAGTGTAGACTGTGGAAAATGGCAGCAAAATTTCAAGAGGAGCTTAAGTTTTAACATGCAAAGAATACAATAGCTAACAATGACTTTCGGGAACTTAGAAAGAGTACTATTAAGGCTAAAAGTAGTGAATTTTGTTATAATGAGCCTATTCTATTGAGCAACAAATTTCAGCCCTTGGCTTCTGCAGATGAGGAACTATTGGATGAAAGGAAAACAAAAGGGGCAGAGAAGGATGTGGATAATAAGGTTATAGTTATAGGTTATTCCTTTACAAAGCATGTGGATAGGATAGTCTGTGGGGTAAATAGGGAGAAAAGAATCAAATTATGCTACCCAGGGGTACAGATGGAGGATATAACTGACAGAGCATGAGATATAATAAAGGGGGCTAGCAGAGATGCACTTTTTGTTGTGTACGTAGGGGCTAATGACTTAAGGAAAGGTAGGTCAGAGGAACTAATTAATAAGTACAAGGGGGTTGATAAAGGCATTTAAATAAAAATACCACAACTTAATTTTGTTAGGGATACTACCCAGAATTAACTGTGGAGATGAAGTTATAAGTAGTTCACAAGGCTAAATGCTAGGCTTAAGTTAGTATTTAAGGATGAGCAGATTGGCTGTTTGGAATTGTGGGATCAGTTCAGTGGAAGAAGTAAGCTTTTTGGAATGGATAAGATAGGGCTGGCTTGTTTGCTATGGCTATTAACTCGGCTGTAAGGGAAGTTTTAAACTAGGACTAAACAGTGGTGAGGGCCAGGAAGAACTGAAAGCAAAAAGAATAAGAGGCAGAGAAAAGTTTAGCATAGGAAATGAGTATAGAAGTATTTATAAGGGTAGGATTAATTGTTATTATTGTAATGCTAGAAGTATAAGAAATAAAATAGATGACCTTAGAGCACTGGTAGGAATGGAGGATTTTGATATAATTGGAATAATTGAAACATTGTTAAACAAAGATGATTTCAATGACAGAAATTTATTGAAATACAAGGTTACAGGCTATCTAATAAAAATAGAGTATTAAAGAGGGGGGGGGATGGTTTTATATGTAAAATGTGAGTTACATTCCTGTTGAAGTTGAGGATATCAAAAGATAAATAGCAAAAGAGATTAGTGGATATAAAGGGAAAATACTTTTAATGGAAATTTCATTACAGACCACCAA